ATTAGAACTAAGATTGCTGCACACCGCACACTGCACCTGCCCTATAAGCCTTATATACCACCTGTCACATCATCACTTTTAATCCTGCACCCATTACTCTGGCCCGGCCCAGTTTTATTGTGTTTTAGTGTATTGTTTATTGCTTGTTGTTTATATTGCTTTAATTGTTTTAATTTGCCTTAGTTGTTGTATTGTTATATTGTGTGTTGAGGCCTTGGCCTTTGTAAGCCGCATCGAGTCCTTCGGGAGATGCTAGCGGGGTACAAATAAAGTTTAATAATAATAATAATAATAATAATAATAATAATAATAATGAGACATGCCGCATTATCACAGGGTGTCTGCGCCCTACACCACTGGAGAAATTACACTGCTTAGCCGATATTGCACCACCTGACATCCGTCGGGAAGTAGCAACCAATAGTGAAAGGATCAAGGCAGAGACACCTCCAGCTCATCCCTTGTTTGGGCATCAGTCAGCACGTCAACGACTTAAATCTAGAAATAGTTTTCTAAGATCTAGAGAGACACTCGCCGGAACACCTCAGCAAGTGAGAGTCCAAAAGTGGCAGGCTCAAACCCAGAACCTCAATCAATGGCTGATACCAAATGAGAGACTCCCCCCTGGGCACACAGAAGACTGGGCGACTTGGAAGGCGCTGAACAGACTGCGCTCTGGCACCACGAGATGCAGAGCCAACCTCAAGAAATGGGGCCACAAAGTGGAATCCTCGACATGCGAGTGTTGAGAAGAGCAAACCACTGACCACCTGCTGCAATACAACCTGAGCCCTGCCACATGCACAAGGGAGGACCTCCTTGCAGCAACACCAGAAGCACTCCAAGTGGCCAGATACTGGTCAAAGGGCATTTAATCAACTACCAAACTCACAAATTTTGTATTTTGTCTGTTTGTTTGCTTTGTTCTGTTAGAAATGTAATATAATTTGTCTGGTTGTCCTGACACGACAAATAAAATTGTGTGCCTCATTGCAGTTGTACTGAGGCTGAATTTTACTGACAATCAGGAACACAAAAATGAAGCACTCACTATTGGATATAGTATTCATTTCTTATTAGACGACTCCCTTTAAAGGCCATTATATAATAACAATTCTTGTGCTGGTACGGCTGTACCAGGAGCTCCAACTTCTTTTCCTTTCTATTGAGTGTTTGCATGTATTCCAAAGTTCCATGCATTTTGCAATAAGGTGGCTTCCCTTGGTTTGCAATCATAGGGCCAATGGCCCATCAATTATCATTATGTTCTTTAGTTCTGCCCCTTTTTCTGGGTTAAGGAAGGAAAAATGGGACCTGTAGTTCAGTTCACACAGAGAAGCCTTTCGCACAGAACGTGAATCAGTTCCACCTGTAGAAAGCTTCATCTTTTGCAGCTTTGCTGGGGGGATCCAGTCCCACAGTTCTACAGAGAACTACAGCATAGCCTTTGTTGGGATATTTAGTTCCACAACTCGACAGCCAGCTCTTTGCTGCAGAAATACAGCTCCACGGTTTTACAGCCAGCCTTCGCTGGGAAACAAAGGACTTCTTTCCTCTTGGAAATCTACACAGAGACTTTGGCCTGGTAAGGACCTCTCGTGGCAGCCATAATGCAAATTGGAACCGGGTGTAGGGGCCCCACACCAGCAGTCTTCCTTGTCCGAGTTTCCAATAGAACTCACAACCTCTGGGGATGCTTGCCATAGATGTGGGTGAAACATCAGGAGATAATGCTTCTGGAACATGGCTCGACAGCCTGGAAAAATCACAACAACCCAGTTATTGGTTGTTGTAGGTTTTTTTGGGCTATATGGCCATGTTCTAGAGGCATTGTCTCCTGACGTTTCGCCTGCATCTATGGCAAGCATCCTCCAAGGTAGTGAGGTCTACCACAGAACCTCTGAGGATGCTTGCCATAGATGTGGGTGAAACGTCAGGAGATAATGCTTCTGGAACATGGCCCGACAGCCCAGAAAACACAACAGCAACCCAGTGGTTCCGGCCATGAAATCTTTCAACAACACCATCATCATAATTGTTGAACAAGTGGGCTTAATAACAAAAGACCCTCCCCATAAACAGTATTCCCACCCAACTGTTTATTTATTTATTTATTTACAGCTTTTATATTCCGCCCTTCTCACCCCGCAGGGGACTCAGGGCGGATTACAGTGTACACATATATGGCAAACATTCAATGCCAATTTTTGACATACAAACATATACAGACATACACAGAGGCTATTTAACTTTTTCTGGCCACCAGGGGAGCTGTTGCTTTCATCGTCCATCTGCGACACTGATGAAGCACTTCCGCATTCCCCGCATGCTTCCCCGCTGGAATGCTCTGCTGGAGTCTTCTTTATGGCCTCATAAATTAGTTAATTTAGCTTCCCCGCACTTTAAGGTGGTACCTAATTTTCCTACTTGACAGATGCAACTGTCTTTCGGGTTGCAAAGGTCGACAACAGGCTACACACAATTGGTTGGAAACCCACTCCAACCCGGGGTTCTCCAGATCATCTAGTGCTGTTCTATGGCATGCTTCTGTAGGTTTTGTCATGATTTTAGGTATTCATAGGGGTAATCATTCATAGAATAAAGAGGCCTCTCTGTAGTAAAATAATATAGTAGCACTGTATACAATAACAAGGTTTCCAAAACACAAATCAACAAATCTATAGTAGCTTTACCTGCAGCCACCTTCATACTGGAGCTCCCTCACAAGGCTTCTGCTATACAGAAGTTTACCTCAGACAGACTGAAAAGTTCCCTCACTGAGGCAAACTAACACGAACAGGCTTCAGCCTACTCACTCTCCTCAGGATGACACTAGCTTTGGCCTACTCATTCTCCCCGGGACATCACTAGCTTTGGCCCGCTGACTCTAACAGGCTCTGGCCTACTCACTCTCCTCAGGACTTTAAACACCACACGTTGAATAGGAAAAAACAATCCTTTTATTGAAGCATTTGATCCTATGTAACCACTACGCTTATACCACAAGAATACTACAAATAAACACAGTTACTGTATTTTCTCTGCCCAGTTAGCATAAACAAAGCCTCTCTCTCTCAATCTCTCAGTTAGAGATCCCTCTGTGCTTACGTTTCAAATGGTGGCAAGTGGTGGGATGATGAAATAAAAGGCCCCCCTGTCTGAAGATTGTTTGTTTTGCCCTGCTTTTCGTTTCACATGCGTATGAACGTAGGTAATTCTCAAGGCTGCATACTCTCACCCAACCTTTTTAACTTGTATGCAGAACACATCATGCGAGGATGTGCGGGCTTGATGAATGCAAAGATGGGGTGAAAATTGCTGGAAGAAACATTAACAACCTCAGATATGCAGATGACACCACTCTGATGGCCGAAAGCGAGGAGGAGCTGAGGAGCCTTCTAATCAAGGTGAAAGAAGAAAGCGCAAAAGCCGGGTTGAAGCTAAACATCAAAAAAACCAAGATTATGGCAACAAGAATGATTGACAACTGGAAAATAGAGGGAGAAAATGTGGAGGCCGTGACAGACTTTGTATTTCTAGGTGCAAAGATGACTGCAGATGCAGACTGTGGCCAGGAAATCAGAAGACGCTTCCTTCTTGGGAGGAGAGCAATGTCCAATCTCGATAAAATAGTAAAGAGTAGAGACATCAGACTGGCAACAAAGATCCATTGCCTAGTCAAAGCCATGGTCTTCCCTGTAGTCACCTACGGATGTGAGAGCTGGACCTTAGGGAAGGCTGAGCGAAGAAAGAGAGATGCTTTTGAACTGTGGTGTTGGAGGAAAGTTCTGAGAGTGCCTTGGACTGCGAGAAGATCCAACCAGTCCATCCTCCAGGAAATAAAGCCCGACTGCTCATTGGAGGGAAGGAGACTAGAGACAAAGTTGAAGTCCTTTGGCCACATCATGAGGAGACAGGAAAGCCTAGAGAAGGGAATGATGCTGGGGAAAGTGGAAGGCAAAAGGAAGAGGGGACGACCAAGGGCAAGATGGATGGATGGCATCCTTGAAGTGACTGGACTGACCTTGAAGGAGCTGGGGGTGGTGACGGCTGACAGGGAGCTCTGGTGTGGGCTGGTCCGTGAGGTCACGAAGATTCGGGGACGACTGAACAAATGAACACACATTCTGGCTCACATTTCGTTTATATAAATGGTTATTTTCCCGCATGGGATTTTTTATGCACTAATAGATGTGCACTCTGTCTGAAATGCTTTCCACATTCCAAACACTGATATGGCTTTTCTCCAGTGTGGGTCCTTTGATGTAAACGTAAATTCGAACCATGAGAGAACGTCTTCCCACATTCTATGCACTTATATGGCTTCTCTCCTGTATGGGTTTTTCGATGTGAACGTAAACTGTTACTCCAAGCAAAGGTCTTTCCACATTCAGTGCATTTATAGGACTTCTCCCCTGTGTGCGTTTTTCGATGTGAATTTAGACTATGTCTAAGACTGAATGTCTTTCCACATTCAGTGCATTCGTATGGCTTCTCTCCTGTGTGGGTCCTTTGATGTGAACGCAGATCGCCACTCTGAGTGAAACTCTTTCCACATTCCACGCACTGGAATGGCTTTTCCCCAGTATGGGTTCTTTGATGTTTATGTAATTGTGCATTCTGAGTGAAGCTTCTGCCACAGTCCTTGCAGTGATATGGTTTCTCCCCAGTGTGGATTCTTTGATGATTACGTAAGTGTGCTATCTGAGTGAAGCTTCTTCCACACTCCTTGCAGTGATATGGTTTCTCCCCAGTGTGGATTTTTTGATGTCTCCATAAATACAGGTGGCAAGAGAAGCTCTTTCCACACTCTGTGCATTTATATGGTTTCTCTCCTGTGTGAATTCTTTGATGTATATGAAGATCTCCACTTTGACAGAAGGCCTTTCCACATTCCATGCATTTGTATGGCTTCTCCCCTGTGTGAGTTCTCTGATGCAAAGTAAGACTTCCATTATTAACGTAGCTCCGTCCACATTCCATACACTGATACGCTTTCTCGCCCGTGTGTGTTCTTTGATGCGACTTTAAACCACCTTTAAGAGAGAAACTCTTCCCACATTCCATGCATTTATATGGCTTCTCCCCACTGTGGGTTTTTTGATGGGTACGTAGATGGGAACTCTGGTTGAACATCTTTCCACATTCCATGCATTTATGTGGCTTCTCCCCACTGTGGGTTTTTTGATGGATACGTAGATGGGAATTCTGGCTGAACATCTTCCCACATTCCATGCATTTATGTGGCTTCTCTCCGGTATGGGTTTTTTGATGGGTACGTAGATGGGAACTATGACCGAACCTCTTTCCACATTCCACACACTGAAACGGCTTCTCCCCAGTATGTGTAATTTGATGTGAATCTAAATGAGGTCTTTGAGAGAAGGTCTTCCCACATTCTGTGCATTTATAGGGTTTCTCTCCCGTGTGGATTCTGTAATGTATATTCAAGGAAAATTTACTCTGGAATATTTTTCCACATAAAGAACAATTCACCTTTTTTTTCCTTTGCAATTCCCTTCGCTTGTCGAGAGTTTTAAATTGTTCTCCTCCTGAGGAGCAGAGGAGTTCTTCTTTCCTTTCTTTGATTGACTTCCCTTTTGTTTTTTCCGTCCCTTTTGATTCACCATTTCCTCTTTCTCCACCACAGTCTCAGCTGTTTCCCTTGACACCGTAGAGGACTCCACCAAAGGGTCTTCCTTCTCGTTACCTATTTGAGAAAGAAGTTCATTCTATTAGGAGCTGAACAAAGAAACCTAGGATCTTCTTGGGAATTAAGACTAATCTTTATTTATTTACCTATTTACTGCATTTGTAGCCCGCCTTTCTCAACATTACGAAGACTCAAGGCGGCTTCCAGAAATGGCAGAATTTGATGCCAAACATTCATAAAAACACAGTTTAAAACATTCAACCTAATGGCTGTTGTAGGTTTTTCCGGGCTATATGGCCATGTTCTGGAGGCAATTTTTCTCCTGACGTTTCGCCTGCATCTATGGCTAGCATCCTCAGAGGTAGTGAGGTCTGTTGGAAGTAGGAAAAATGGGTTTCTATATCTGTGGAATGACCAGGGTGGGACAAAGGACTCTTGTCTGCTGGGGCTAGCTGTGAATGTTTCAGCTGATCACCTTGATTAGCATTCAATGGCTTGGAAGTGCCTGGGGGGAATCTTTTGTTGAGAGTGATTTTATGTGCCTGTTTGTTTCCCCTCTGTTGTTTTGCTGTTGTAATTTTTGAGTTTTTTAATACTGGTAGCCAGATTTTGTTCATTTTCATGGTCTTCCTTTCTGTTGAAATTGTCCACATGCTTGTGGATTTCAATGGCTTCTCTGTGTAGTCTGACATGGTGGTTGTGAGAGTGGTCCAGCACTTCTGTGTTCTCAAATAATATGCTGTGTCCAGGTTGGTTCATCAGGTGCTCTGCTATGCTTGACTTCTCTGGTTGAAGTGAGAACACAGAAATGTTGGACCACTCTCACAACCACCATGTCAGACTACACAGAGAAGCCACTGAAATCCACAAGCATGTGGACAATCTCAACAGAAAGGAAGAAACCATGAAAATGAACAAAATCTGGCTACCAGTATTAAAAAACTCTAAAATTACAACAGCAAAACAACAGAGGGGAAACAAACAGGCACATGAAATCACTCTCAACAAAAGATTCCCCCAGGCGCTTCCAAGCCATTGAATGCAAATCAAGGTGATCAGCTGAAACATTCACAGCTAGCCCCAGCAAACAAAAGTCCTTTGTCTCACCCTGGTCATTCCACAGATATATAAACCCATTTTTCCTAGTTCCAACAGACCTCACTACCTCTGAGGATGCTTGCCATAGATGCAGGCGAAACGTCAGGAGAAAATGCCTCTAGAACATGGCCATATAGCCCGGAAAAACCTACAACAACCCAGTGATTCCGGCCATGAAGGCTTCGACAATACATTCAACCTAATATTATAAAAAAAAACCCATATAAAACCATTAAAAACATATAATTACCAGTGTTGTCCTATTAAAATCATTATCCAGCAGCATCCTCTAGCAATTCTGTGTTCATTCTTCCTATTTCATAATTATTTATTCCGCTGCATTCCCAAATGCTTGTTCAAAAAGCCAAGTTTTTACTCTTTTTCTGAAGGTCAGGATGGAGGAGGCCAGTCTAATATCCCTAGGGAGGGAGTTCCACAGTCGAGGGGCCCCAACTGAGAAGGCCCTGTCCCTTGTCGTCTCCCACCAGATGCGCTTGCGAGGAAGGCAAGATCGAGAGCAGGATCTCCCCAGACAATCTTAACTTTCTAGATGGTTAATAAGGAGAGATACGTTCGGACAGGTAAGCTGTGCTGGAACCATTTAAGACAGTCTTCCTAATGTCACGACCCCTTAGTACAGTTCCTCATGATGTGCTGACCCCCAACCATAACATTATTTCCTTTGCTAGTTTGCTACTGTTGTGAATCCTAATGTAAATATCTGATATGCAAGATGTATTTCCATTCAATGGGCCCAAATTTGGCAAAAATACCCGATATGACCAAATTTGAATACTGGTGGGGTTGGGGGATTGATTTTGTCATTTGGGAGTTGTAGTTGCTGGGATTTATAGTTCAACTACAATCAAAGAGCATTCTGAACTCCACCAACAATGGAATTGAACCAAATTTGGCACACAGAACTCCCACGACCAACAGAAAATGATGGAAGGGTTTGGTGGGCATTGACCTTGAGTTTTGGAGTTGTAGTTCACCTATATCCAGAGAGCACTGTGGATTCAAACAATGAGTCAACCAAAGAGTCAATACTCAATATGCCCAAAAGTGAACACTGGTGGAGTTTGGGGAAAACAGATCTTGATATTTGGGCGTTGGAGTTGCTGGGATTTATAGTTCACCTACAATCAAAGAGCATTCTGAACTCCACCAATGATGGAATGGCACCAAACTTGGCACACAGAACTCCCGTGACTAACAGAAAATACTGGAAAGATTTGATGGGCACTGACCTTGAGTTTTGGAGTTGTAGTTCACCTACATCCAGAGAGCACTGTGGACTCAAACAATGATGGATCTGGACCAAACTTGGCACAAATCCTCAATGTCCAAATGTGAACACTGGTGGATTTTAGGGAAAATAGAGTTGTAGTTGCTGGGATTTATAATTCACCTACAATTGAAGAGCATTCTGAACCCCACCAACAATAGAATTGGGCCAAACTTCCAACACAGAATCCCCATGACCAACAGAAAATACTGTGTTTTCTGACGGTCTTTGGCGACCCCTCTGACACCCTCTTGCGACCCCTCCAGGGGTCCCGACCCCCAGGTTGAGAAACACTGATTTAGGACCTACAATCAGAGCATTCTGAACACCACCAATGATAGAATTGGGCCAAACTTAGCACACAGAACTCCAATGGCCAAGAGAAAATACTGGGAGGATCTGGTGGACGTTGACCTTGAATTTTTGGAGTTGTAGTTCACCTACATCCAGAGAGCACTGTGGACTCAAACAATGATGGATCTGGACCAAACTTGGCACAAGTACTCAATATGCCCAATTGTGAACACTGTCTGGAGTTTGGGGAAAATAGACCTTGACATTTGGGAGTTGTAGTTACTGGGATTTATAGTTCACCTACAATGAAATAACATTCTGAACCACACCAATGATAGAATTGGACCAAACTTCCCACATGGAACCCATGACCAACAGAAAATACTCTGATGGTCTTTGGCAACCCCTCTGACACCCCCTCGTGACCCCCACAGGGTTGAGAAACACTGGTTTAAGGCTAGTCTTCGCTTTCCTGCCAGGTAAGAACCTATATTCAAATCTGATCAATTTCCATGGTTAGCTGCACCAGCCATACATTTCTGTCCCTTTGAGAACTGTCCATGGAAGATGAAAAATGCACCTTACCCAGAAAAACCACGTTCCCATGATCCTCCATCCTGTCCTTCTTGTAGAGAGCCCTGTGGCTGTGATCGAGGGTATCCCACTCCTCCTGAGCAAAATACTCCTCAAATGGGACTGAGAGCTGAAAGGAAGAAGTATTCCTCTATAAGTAGAAATAATTGGACCAACTCTCTGTATGCCTTTTAATCTATATAAATAAAAATGTAAGGTTAGTTCGTGCTCCCATCAGAACTCAAAAACCACTGGGGAATTGACACCAAATTTGGACACAAGACACCTAACAGTCCCATTTATGTCCTCCACTCAAAAAAAAAATTGATTTTGTAATTTGGGAATTGTCGTTGCTGGGATTTATAGTTTACCTACAATCAAAGAGCATCTGAACTCCACCAATGATGGAATAGGGCCAAACTTAGCACACAGGGCTCCCATGACCAACAGAAAAAACTGGAAAGGTTTGGTGGACATTTGGTGGACGTTGACCTTGAGTTTGGGAATTATAGTTCACCCACATCCAGAGAGCACTGTGGACTCAAACAATGATGGATCTGGACCAAACTTGGCACGAATATTCCATATTCCCAAATGTGAACACTGGTGGAGTTTGGGGAAAATAGACTGTACATTTGGGAGTTGTAGTTGCTGGGATTTATAGTTTACTACAATCAAAGAGCATTCTGAACTCCACCAATGATGGAATTGGGCCAAACTTAGCACACAGGGCTCCCATGACCAACAGAAAAAACTGGAAAGGTTTGGTGGACATTTGGTGGACATTGACCTTGAGTTTGGGAATTATAATTCACCCACATCCAGAGAGCAATGTGGACTCAAACAATGATGGATCTGGACCAAACTTGGCACGAATACTCAATATGCCCAAATGTAAACACTGGGGGGGTTGGGGGAAAATAGAGTTGACATCAGGGAGTTGTAGTTGCTGGGATTTATAGTCCATGTATAAATATGTGAGAGGAAGCCACAGGGAAGAGGGAGCAAGCTTGTTTACTGCTTCCATGGAGACTAGGACAAGGAACAATGGCTTCAAACTACAAGAAAGGAGATTCCATCTGAACATGAGGAAGAACTTCCTGACTGTGAGAGCCGTTCAGCAGTGGAACTCTCTGCCCCGGAGTGTGGTGGAGGCTCCTTCTTTGGAAGCTTTTAAACAGAGGCTGGATGTGTCAGGGGTGATTTGAATGCAATATTCCTGCTTCTTGGCAGAATGGGTTGGACTGGATGGCCCATGAGGTCTCTTCCAACTCTTTGATTCTATGATTCTAAAAGAATTCTGAACTCCACCAATGATGGAATTGAACCAAACATGGCATACAGGACTTCCATGACCAAGAGAAAACACTGGAAGGGTTTGGTGGGCATTGACCTTGAGTTTGGGAGTTGTAGTTCACCTACATCCAGAGAGCACTGTGGACTCAAACAATGATGGATCTGGACCAAACTTGGCACGGATATTCCATATGCCCAAATATGAACACAGAAGGAGTTTAGGGGGAAATAGACCTTGACATTTGGGAGTTGTAGTTACTGGGATTTATAGTTCACATACAATCAAAGAGCACTCAGAACTCCACTAGCGATGGAATTGAACCAAACTTGGCACACAGAACTCCCATGACCAACACAAAACACTGGAAGGGTTTGGTGGGCATTGACCTTGAGTTTTGGAGTTGTAGTTCACCTACATCCAGAGAGCACTGTGGACTCAAACAATGATGGATCTGGACCAAACTTGGCACAAATACTCAATATGCCCAAATGTGAACACTGGGGAGTTTGGGGAAAATAGACCTTGACATTTGGGAGTTGTAGTTACTGGGATTTATAGTTCACCTACAATCAAAGAGCATTCTGAACCCCACCAATGATAGAATTAGGCTAAACTTCCCATATAAAGCGCGCCCCCTGCAGGCAAAGTTTGGAAAGGCAAAGTTTGGACTCTTTATATTACTCGTCCGCCCCGCTATCGTAACAGCCAATCAGCGACCATATGCAAATCTCTCCCAACGTTCCACCAATCACCTCTCTAAACTGTTCACTCGCTCGGCCTCGCCCTCCAGTTCCTCTTTGACCTCAAGTTCACCTACGAACACCCCCGTTCATGTCTGCTTTTTTGGCGTGCCTCGCTTGCCGTAGTTCTCCCTCACCGCCTTCCTTCTCTCCAATCAGAAGTGTGTTGACGTCATTTCCGGAGGAGGGGAAAGAGGAAAGGGGAGGGGCATTGGGGGAGATCACAGATATTTTTTTAAAGGGACAGACTCCTAATTTGTTCCTTGGGTGGGAGGAATGAATGACTTCTCCATCCAGCCCTTTTCAGTTGCCTTGGCCCAATAATGCTATGGGATGGTGGGAGTTGTAGTTTTGGCAAGGACAAACATCAGAAGTAACTCATTTTTGGGGGTTTTTAATCACTGCTCCCAATTAGGAATACTGTACATCAGGTGTGGTGGAAGTGGGGGACACATTGGTGTTTGGGTGTGGGTGAACTACAACTCCCATCGCAGGGACAGCTTAGCTTTCGCATTCTGAACTCCCATTGCCTCCCCAAAACGATACCAGTAGGTAAAGTTGGTCATGGTGGGTCTGTGTGCCAAGTTTGGTCCAGATCTATTGTCGGTGGGGTTCGAATTGTTCCCCCAATATGGGTGAACTATAACTCCCAGTGTCCTCTGTCATGGCCCCAAACACACCCGCACTAGATTAGATGATGCCCAACTAGGGGTTTGGTAAGGATAAATATTAGAAGAAGTCATTGTTTGTTTTTGGATTTTATGAATGCACCCATTAGAAAATGCATAAGGATGTGGGTGAACTACAACTCCCACTATCATCATCTGTCATTGCCTCAAAACTGAACCAGTAGTTAAAGTTAGTCATGGTGGGTCTGTGTGCCAAGTGTGGACCAGATCTATTGTCGGTGGGGTTCGCATTGTTCCCCCAATATGGGTGAACTATAACTCCCAGCGTCCTCTGTCATGGCCCCCAAACGCACCCACACTAGATTAGATGATGTCCAGCTAGGGATTTGGTAAGGATAAATATTAAAAGAAGTCATTGTTTGTTTTTTGATTTTATGAATGGTCCCGTTAGAAAATGCATAAGGATGTGGGTGAACTACAACTCCCACTATCATCGTGTCATTGCCCCAAAACTGAACCAGTAGTTAAAGTTAGTCATGGTGGGTCTGTGTGCCAAGTGTGGTTTGGTAAGGATAAACATAAGAAGAAGCCGTTATGTGTTTTTGGATTTTTATGAATGAGCCCATTAGATACTGCACAAAGATGTGGGTGAACTACAGCTCCCACCATTATCGTTTCTCATTGCCCCCAAACCAAATCAGTAGCTAAATTTAGTCATGATGGGTTTGTGTGCCAAGTGTGGTCCAGATCTATTGTCGATGGGGTTTGAATTGTTCTCCCAATATGGGGGAACTATAACTCCCATTGTCCCCTGTCATCACTCCCAAACACACACGCACTAGCTTAGGTACCTAGTGATTCCAAGCTAGAGATTTGGTATGGATAAACATTAGAAGAAGTCATTATTTCTTTTTGGATTTTTATGAATGGTTCCATTAGAAAATACTTAAGGATATATGAGTGTACTACAACTCCCACCATCATCTATTATTGCCCCCAAAGAAAACAAGTAGTTAAACTTAGTCATGTGTTCTATGTGCCAAGTGTGGACCAGATCTGTTGTTGGTGGGGTTCACATTGTTCTCCAAATATGGGTGAACTATAACTCCCAGCGTCCTCTGTCATCGTCCCCAAACACACACACATGCTAGCTTAGATGATGCCCAGCTAGGGATTTGGTAAGGATAAACATTCAAAAAAGTAATTGTTTGTTTGTTTATTTTATGAATGCTCCCATTAGAAAATGCATAAGGATGTGGGTGAACTACAATTCCCACCATCATTTTCTGTCATTGCCCCCAAACCGAACCAGTAGTTAAAGTTAGTCATGCTGGGTCTGGGTGCCAAGTGTGGACCAGATCTATTGTCAGTGGAGTTCGCATTGTTCTTCCAATATGGGTGAACTATAACTCCCAGCGTACTCTGTCATCGCCCCCAAACACACACACACACACACACACACAAGCTTAGATGATGCCCAGCTAGGGATTCGGTGAGGATAAACATTAGAAGAAGTCATTGTTTGTTTGTTTATTTTATGAATGCTCCCATTAGAAAATGCATAAAGATGTGGGTGAACTACAACTCCCACTATCATCACCTGTAATTGCCCCCAAACCGAACCAGTAAGTAAAGTTAGTCATGCTGGGTCTGTGTGCCAAGTGTGGTCCAGATCTATTGTTGGCAGGGTTCACATTGTTCTCCATATATGGGTGGACTATAACTCTCGTCGTCCCCTGTCATCACCCCCAAACACACACACATTAGCTTGTGTATCCAGTGATGCTAGGCTAGGAATTTGGTATGGATAAACATTAGAAGAAGTCATTATATGTTTTTGGATTTTTATGAATGGTCCCATTACAAAATACCTTAGGATATGTGAGTGTACTACAACTCCCACCATCATCTATCATTGCCCCCAATGCAAACCAGTAGTTAAACTTACTCATGAGGGGTCTGTGTGCCAAGTGTGGTCCAGATCTATTGTCGGTCGGGTTCACATTGTTCTCCAAATATGGGTGGACTATAACTCCCATCGTCCCCTGTTGTCACCCTCAAACTTTTCCGGTAATACACACAAAGATATTGACAAGCTGGAACATGTCCAGAATAGGGCGACTAAAATGATCAAAGGTGTGTCTACTGCAATGCAGTCTACGTGGGGCTGCCTTTGAAGACTGTTAGGAAGCTTCAAACAACCCAACGAGAGGCAGCCAAGTTAAGAATTGGGGTGGCAAACAGGAAGCATACAACTCCCATTGTGCTGTCACGCGCTGGGCCTGTGAAAGAGTCTGTAGACAGGATGTGTTTTCTGTATGCCCAACGGGACACCAGGGGTGCCTCAGATTAGAGGCCCTTTGGATTCCCCTAAACAAAGTCTTTAGAAACTTGGAAAGTTTAACAGAGTTCTTTATTATTGCTTAGGTCTTCAATAAATCAAACAAATACTTCAAGGCTTTGAATCAACTGGTGGCTTTCTTAATCTTGTCCAAAAGGGACTGGCAACTATCTTCATTTATTTATTTATTTAACTTGTATACCGCTATTCCCAATTTGGCTCGGAGCGGTTTACAGAAATAGATTAAAAACAATACAATTAGCTTTATTATTATTATTATTATTATTATTATTATTATTATTATTATTATTTCAGTTACTTTTACCCCGCCCTTCTCACCCCCGAGGGGGGACTCAGGGCGGCTTACAAAGGAAGGCACAATTCGATGCCTATATCAAATATACATACATACATAACAGCACTTAAACAATTAACAAATTAAAATCATCAGTACATAACAATACACTAACACAATAGTAAACTAATCCTATGCTCAGCGCTCAGAGTTCCGTAAATCCATTCCGTTTTGTCAATTCTCTCTCATCATCAAGGTCTTTCTTTAGCTGCCAGAATGTCCAAATGCCCGGTCCCACATCCAGGTCTTCAATTTTTTTTCTAAAAGAAAAAAGGGAATTCGCCGATCTAATCTCCCCGGGGAGTGAGTTCCACAGGTGGGGGGCCACCACCGAGAAGGCCCTGCTCCTTGTCCCCACCAACCTCACTTGTGATAGAGGCGGGGTCGAGAGTAGGGCCTCCCCAGAAGATCTTAGACTCCGAGGTGGGACGTAGAGGGGGATCCGTTCGGACAAATACACTGGGCTGGAACCGTATAGGGTTTTGTAGGTAAAAAAAAATAACCATAACAATAACAATAGGCAGCAAGGACAGACATAGTCCGGGTGGTTCACCCATCAAAAGCTTGCTGGAAAAGAAAAGTTTTACAGGCTTTCCAAAAAGCAAGTAGGTCTCGGATGGTTCGAGTTTCAACCAGCAAGGCATTCCATAAATAAGGGGCTACAATCGAGAAGGCTCTATGCCTAGTAGATGACAAATGATAGGTTTCGTGAACTGTTTCTTCACTATCAGGGAAATCCTTGTCCTCTATCTGGGCAATCTGGCTTAGGCTCTGCTGGCGTGGGCCCCTACACCCGGTCCATTTGCGTTATGGCTGCCGCGAGTGGCCCTTACCAAATAGAGTCCTTTTGTAGATTTCCAAGAGGAAATAAGATCTTCCAACTCCCAGCGAAGGCTGGCTATAAAGCTGTGGGGTTGGATCCCCCCACAAAGGCTATGCTTCTCTGTAAAGCTGTGGGACTGAATTCCCCCAGCAAAGAGTTGTGGGACTGGATCCCCCCAGCAAAAGCTGTAAAAGGCGAAGCTTTCTACAGGTGTAACTGATTCACGTCCTGTACGAAAGGCTTCTCTGTGTGAACTGAACTAGAGTTCCCTTTTCCCCTCCTAAACCCAGAAAAAGGGGCAGAACTAAATAACCTAATGATGATTGATGGGTCATTGGCCCTATGATTGCAAACCAAGGGAAGCCACCTTATTGCAAAATGCATGGAACATTGGAATACATGCAAACACTCAAAGAAAGAAAAAGAAGCTGGAGCTCCTGGTACAGCCGTACCAGCACACCCACCAGCTGCTTGTTTGCTACCGGACACAATTCAAAGTGCTGGCTTTGGCCTACAAAATCCTAAACAGACCCGGCCCAGTTTACCTGTCCGAACGCATCTCCCTTTACGAACTACCACGAAGACTAAGATCTACTGGGGAGGCGCTGCTCTTGGTCCCACCACCTTCACAGGTGTGTTTGGTGGGGACGAGAGACAGGGCCTTCTCAGTGATTGCCCCCCGGTTGTGGAACTCCCTTCCTGGCAATATTAGATGAGCCCCCTCCCTCCTGTCTTTCAGAAGGATGGTGAAGACCTGGCTAAGGGACCAAGCATTTGGATATAAGTGATTTTAATGTTTGTGTATATTTATGGTTTGATGTCCCGGCACTGAATGTTTGCCATATATATGTTGTGTTCTGCCCTGAGTCCCCTCACATAAGTAATACATAAATAAATAAATAGTGTTGGAATCATTGGTTCATCCCATCTCAGAGTGTTGGAGCCCCCAGTGGCGCCGGCAGGACCAAAGACCGACAGGTCACAGGTTCGAATCCGGGGAGAGCGTGGATGAGCTCCCTCTGTCAGCTCCAGCTCCCCATGCAAGGACATGAGAGAAGCCTCCCACGAGGATGGGAAAACATCAAAACATCTGGGCGTCCCCTGAGCAACGTCCTTGCAGACGGCCAATTCTCTCACACCAGAAGCAACTTGCAGTTTCTCAAGTCGCTTCTGACACACAGAGCGTAAACAATTCTAGCTGCTCATATATTGTAATCATTTTGCATATCTTCTTTCTAAGTGGCCATTGAGCATTCTCAGTAGATAAAACCTTAGCCACATTGTGAATTTAACCTTAACCATTTCTTCCAGCATCAAGTGTATTTGAGTCTAATTTTTCTGAACCTTTCCACAAGACTACCACATATGATAAAATGTCCCAATATTGTGCTCACATTTCCAGTGTGTTCTCGGCTGCCTTTGTACAAGTCCTCCGGTGACAAAAACATCTGTGCAGCATCTTATACAACTTATTTCAAATCATTGCTGTGGGGGATATTTAATGTGAACACCACAAAGACTAAGATCTTCTGGGGAGGCCCTGCTCTCGGTCCCACCACCATCACAGGCGCATTTGGCAGGGACGAGAGACATGGTCTTCTCAGTGATTGCCCCCCGGCTATGGAACTCCCTTCCTGGCAAGATTAGATCAGCCCCCTCTGTTCTGTCACGCGCTGGACCTGTAATAGCTCTTTTCTATAGGACGTATACTTTAAGCCCAGCGGGAAGCCAGGGGGCCTCAAAGAGAGGTTCTCAGGGATTTTTCTGAAGTGATGGTCTTTAGAGTCTTTAATGATACAACAAAGTCTTTATTATGGAACAAACAACAAATCTTCAAAGGTTCAAACAACACTTCAAGGCTTTCTTAGTCTAGTCCTCAATGGACTGGCACCTGACTTTGATTAACTGTACTTTCTCTGTAAGAAAAAAACCCTTTTTAACCTCTCCCAGGCTGCTTTCTATCTATGCCTCATCGGTGTGGGACCTACTACCGAATCCAAGTGCGTCTGGGTATCGAGTAGACCTACCAGCCGAGGCCTGAAGACATTTCAGCTAGAGTTCCGTGGATCTGTAACCCCAGATGTTCCTTTTCTCCTGGATGATCCTTGTTTCCCTGTAAGCTCTTAAGAATTTCTTGGACTTCAGTTTCCCTGGATGGTCTTAAGAAAGGAAGCTTTTCTACTGGACGAGCTGGTTTACATCCTATAGCTTAGCTACCTTGTGTGAGACTGCCCAAAATGGCTCCTTTCCCTCCCAGAAGCCTGAACAAGGGGCGGAACCAAAGTTTAATTAAGATGGACAGGAGGCCTGCCTTATGACTGCAAAAGAGATAACAGAAAGAAAATAAAGTTGGAGCTCCAGGTACAGCCGTACCAGCACACCCTCCCTCCTGTCCTTCACAATAGAATTAATGTTGCTTGACACCATATTTTATACTACTCTGTTTCCCCGAAAACAAGACAGTGTCTTATATTAATTTTTGCTCCCAAAGATGTGCTAGGTCTTATTTTCAGGGGGTGTCTTATTTTTCCATGAAGAAGAATTCACATTTATTGCTGAACAAAAAAAAAATGGTATTTTATTATATACAGCAGTTGTCATCACAAACCAGAAAAGCAGACACCTCCTAAAACAAGGGCCCTCAGACTGTTGGAGGGCTAAACTATAGAAAAAAACATGGACAAATCCCTATGCGCACTGCAGATATATATTTGTCCTGCAAAAAAGAAAGAAAGAAAGAAAGAACAATACAGTATTTAAAATGATGAACAATTTCAATCAACATAAACTTGGGTCCAAGTATTGTGTCCAATTCTGGGCACCACAATTCAAGAGAGATATTGACAAGCTGGAATGTGTCCAGAGGAGAGCGACTAAAATGATAAAAGGTCTGGAGAACAAGCCCTATGAGGAGCGGCTTAAGGAGCTGGGCATGTTTAGCCTGAAGAAGAGAAGGCCGAGAGGAGATATGATAGCCATGTATAAATATGTGAGAGGAAGCCACAGGGAGGAGGGAGCAAGCTTGTTTTCTGCTTCCTTGGAGACTAGGACGCAATGGAACAATGGCTTCAAACTACAAGGAGAGGAGATTCCATCTGAACATGAGGAAGAACTTCCTGACTGTGAGAGCCGTTCAGCAGTGGAACTCTCTGCCCCGGAGTGTGGTGGAGGCTCCTTCTTTGGAAGCTTTTAAACAGAGGCTGGATGGCCATCTGTCAGGGGTGCTTTGACTGCAACATTCCTGCTTCTTGGCAGAATGGGGTTGGACTTTACGGCCCAAGAGGTCTCTTCCAACTCTTTGATTCTATGATTCAATGGGAATGGTGGGCCTGCTTTTGGCTGATCAGATAGTCAAGTTAATTCAGATTGTTGCTGTTGTTATTGTTGTTGTGTGACTTGAAGTTGTTTCAGACTTAGAGTGATCCTATGTGTAACATTTAGACCAGGAGCCGAGTTAATGACCTTGGAAGGCCGGATCCGGCCCACGGGCCTTAGTTTGAGAACTCCTGCCCTAAAAATCAAAGTGACACACTGGTTGCCTGACTCACGCACAGGGCCACAAAAAATAAGGGCTGTAAAGTACTTCACTCCCACACATTGGAGACTGTAACAATCTGTCATTTGTTCTGCAGTTGATGGTGCTTGGTGATGGAAGGGTTAATGTAAGTATTATTTCTAAAAGGTTTAGCAAACTGTAAGTAAGAGTTCACGGGTGAAAGCAATTAAGGGTGGAGCTATGCAAGAGATAGGTTGCAGCGGGTGTTTCTGGATATAAGGAGCGAACCTTGGAAATGATCTTCGGAAGAAAAGTATTGTCATATTTTGGTGGTGGATGCTGCTGGTTTTCCCCCAGGTCTGTTGGATTTTCGGTATCCTGACCTGTCTCCTGTAATCTTGGAACCCTTGAACCTTTGGACTGGATTTTGACTATGGTGTAGAGAGGTCCTCAAACTTTTTAAACAGAGGGCCAGATCATAGTCCCTCAAACTGTTGGAGGGCCGGATTATAATTTGAAAAAAACATGAATGAATGCACACTGCACATATCTTATTTGTAGTGCAAAAAAGAAAACACTTAAAAACAATACAATAATTAAAATGAAGACCAATTTTAACACATATAACACATATGCTGGGGAAAGTGGCTGGGGAAAATGGAAGGAAAAAGTAAGAGAGGCCGACAGAGGGCAAGATGGGTGGATGACGTCCTTGAAGTGACTAGATTGACCTTGAAGGAGCTGGGGGTGGTGACGGCCAACAGGGAGCTCTGGTGTGGGTTGTTCCATGAGGTCACGAAGAGTAGGAAACGACTGAACGAATGAACAACAACAACACATATAAACTTATTAGTATTTCAATGGGAAGTGTCGGCCTGCTTTTGGCTGATCAGATAGGATTGTTGTTGTTGTGTGTTTTCAACTTGTTTCAGACTAAGGTTGACATTGAGCGAGGGCCAAGTAAATGACCTTGGAGGGCCATATCCGGCCCCTGGGCCTTAGTTTGAGGACCCCTGGTGTAGACTCTTGATCCCTGGACTTTGTTTATTGAACTCATGGCGTTTGACCACTGGACTGGACCCTTTGACTGGACCCTTTGACTTGACTGGACCACTGGACTGGACCCTTTGACTACGGCGTAGCTTTTGCTATCAGTTTTTGTTTATTCTGTGGCTGAGTGCTATCTTTATGTTTTATATTTTGGTTTATTTAAACAGTCAGCAAGTAAGTGCTGTTTTAATTAAACTGTTTGATAAAACTGGGAGTTTGGTTCATCTCTACCTAAATAAGGCAGAGCCCTGGAAATGTGACACAATCTCCCACAGCAGTTCCTGGACCACTTGTACAGCAGGGATGGTATTGCAGCTTCTGGCTACCAGGGAGACCTCAAACGCTTTCCTAGGTCTAACTTTTGGGGGAGGCCTTATATTCTGCAATTCAGTAAAACCTCTACTAAGTCTTATTTCCAGGGGATGCCTTATTTTCAGAGAAACAAGGTAGTATGTGTTTTCCCTATGTGTGTTGTGTCATGCTGTAACGAACCTGACTCACTTTAGAAAGTTAGGAAGTGACATAACTTAAAGGGCTGGCGTGTGAGCAGCCATTTTGTGGTGTCCAGAGAGCAATAGCACCACTGCGGAGGCTATTTGCATGCGAACGACCTGGTTAGTCGGATGCAAATGAGCAGGCGCCAAGATCTGAAAGAGGAGCAGAGGCAAGGATGACAGTTGGAGAAGCCCAACTGAACGTTCTATGGCAGCTAGTTAGCCAGCTGGAGGCAGTCTTTGAGAGTTGGTCAATGAATTAGGGTCTGGGAGGACGTAGCTGAAAAGCAGCTGGAAGACTGGTCAAACAAATCGGTTAAAGATAGTGTGAAGTTTGTTTTTATGTATTAGTAGAACAGTCCTTTTGGGAAGCAAGGAAAAGACTGGATGAAACTCATATTGAAATGTTGTTCTGTAATCAGCAAGCATTCGATCCTATGTAACCACTACGCTTATGCCACAAGAATACTACAAATAAACAGAGTTACTGTCTTTTCTCTGCTCAGTTAGCATAAACAAAGCCTCTCTCTCCCTCAGTCTCTCAGTTAGAGATCCCTTTGTGCTTACGTTTCAAATGGTGGCAAGTGGTGGGATGATGAAATAAAAGGCCCCCCTGTCTGAAGATTGTTTGTTTTGCCCTGCTTTTCGTTTCACATGCGTATGAACGTAGGTATTCTGACTCAAGCTCTTTCTACATTTCGTTTATATAAATGGTTATTTTCCCGCATGGGATTTTTTATGCACAAATAGATGTGCACTCTGTCTGAAATGCTTTCCACATTCCATACACTTATATGGCTTTTCTCCAGTGTGGGTCCTTTGATGGGAACGGAAATTATGACTATGAGAGAAAGTCAGTCCACATTCTATGCATTTAAATGGTTTCTCCCCAGTGTGAATTTTTTGATGTGAACGTAAATTYGGACCATGAGTGAACGTCTTTCCGCATTCTACGCACTTATGTGGCTTCTCTCCTGTATGGGTTTTTCGATGTGAACGTAAACTGTGACTCCAAGCAAAGGTCTTTCCACATTCAGTGCATTTATAGGACTTCTCCCCTGTGTGCGTTTTTTTATGTGAATTTAGACTATGTCTAAGACTGAATGTCTTTCCACATTCAGTGCATTCGTATGGCTTCTCTCCTGTGTGGGTCCTTTGATGTGAACGCAGATCGCCACTCTGAGTGAAACTCTTTCCACATTCCACGCACTGGAATGGCTTTTCCCCAGTATGGGTTCTTTGATGATTACGTAAGTGTGCATTCTGACTGAAGCTCCTTCCACAGTCCTTGCAGTGATATGGTTTCTCCCCAGTGTGGATTCTTTGATGTTTCTGTAAATTTGGACGGCACGAGAAGCTCTTTCCACACACTGTGCATTTACACGGTTTCTCTCCTGTGTGAATCCTTTGATGTATATGAAGATCTCCACCTTGACAGAAGCCCTTTCCACATTCCATGCATTTATATGGTTTCTCTCCTGTGTGAATCCTTTGATGTATTTGAAGATCTCCACGTTGACTGAAGCCCTTTCCACATTCCATGCAATGATACGATTTCTCACCTGTGTGTGCTCTTTGATGCAACTTTAAACCAGCTTTATGGCAGTAACTCTTTCCACATTCCATGCATTTATATGGTTTCTCTCCTGTATGAGTTTTTTGATGTGTCTGTAGACTTCCTTTCTGACAAAAGCTCTTCCCACATGTCATACATTTATATGGCTTCTCCCCTTTGTGGGTTTTTTGATGGGAACATAGATGGGAACTCTGACCGAAACTCTTTCCACATTCCCCGCACTGATACGGCTTCTCAGCAGTGTGTGTCATTTGATGTGAATGTAAATGATGTTTTCGAGAGAAGGTCTTTCCACATTCTGTACATTTATGTGGTTTCTCCCCTGTGTGGGTTCTTTGATGTATCTGTAGAGATCCCTTGAGGCGGAAGCTTTTCCCACATTCCATGCATTTATGTGGCTTCTCCTCTCTGTGGACTTTTTGATGGGTACGTAGATTGGAACTCTGACCGAACCTCTTTCCACATTCCACACACTGATACGGCTTCTCCCCGGTATGTGTAATTTGATGTGAATCTAAATGATTCCTTTGAGAGAAGGTCTTCCCACATTCTGTGCATTTATAGGGTTTCTCTCCCGTGTGGATTCTGTAATGTATATTCAAGGAAAATTTACTCGGGAATATTTTTCCACATAAAGAACAATTCACCTTTGTATTTCTTTTGCAATTTCCTTCGCTTGTCGAGAGTTTTAAATTGTTCTCCTCCTGAAGAGCAGAGGAGTTCTTCTTTCCTTTCTTTGATTGACTTCCCTTTTGTTTTTTCCGTCCCTTTTGATTCACCATTTCCTCTTTCTCCACCACAGTCTCAGCTGTTTCCCGTGAAACCGTAGAAGACTCCACCAAAGGATCTTCCTTCTCGTTACCTATTTGAGAAAGAAGTTCATTCTATTAGGAGCTGAACAAAGAAACCTAGGATCTTCCTGGGAATTAAGACTAATCTTTATTTATTTACCTATTTACTGCATTTGTAGCCCGCCTTTCTCAACATTACGGAGACTCAAGGTGGCTTCCAGAAATGGCAGAATTTGATGCCAAACATTCATAAAAATACAGTTTAAAACATTCAACCTAATGTTATAAAAACCATATAAAACCATTAAAAACATATAATTACCAGTGTCGTCCTGTTAAAATCATTATCCAGCAGCATCCTCTAGCCCAGTGGTTCTCAACCTTTCTAGTGCCGTGACCCCTAAATACAGTTGCTCATGTTGTGGTGACCCCCGACCATAAAATTATTTGTGTTGCTATTTCATAACTGCAATTTTGCTACTGCTATGAATTGTCACATAAATATCCGATATGCAGGATGTCATAAATTTCATTGTCATAAATTGAACATAATTAATGCATAGTGATTAATCACAAAAACAATATGTTTGAAATCACTGACTGATTAATCACAAAAACAATATGTTTGGAAGAGTGTAGACGTGATGATGGTATCTACAGTACCTTCGACCAATTCAGCTCTGACTTCCACAGCCGAGACCCCCATGCATGACAGATCAGGACCAAACTTGGCACACAGAACCCCCATGACCAACAGAAAATACTGGAGCGGTTTGGGAGGAAGTGAAAGTGAGTTAGGGGAGATGTAGTTCGCCTACATTGGATAGCACTCTGAATCCAAACAACCCTGGATCTGAACCCTGGATCTGGGGCAGGGCCAACGCAGCACCCCTCTGAAATGGCCAGGCGACCCCCCTGGGGGTCGCGACCCTCAGGTTGAGAACCACTGCTCTAGCCCAGCATTTCTCAACCTGGGGGTCAGGACCCCTGGGGGGGGTCAGGGGGTCACCAAAGACCATCAGAAAACACAGTTATTTTCTATTGATCATGCAAGTTTTGCGTGGGAAGTTTGCCCCAATTCTATCATTGGTGGAGTTCAGAATTGTTTTTGATTATAGGTGAACTATACATCCAGCAACTACAACCCCCAAATGTCAAGGTCTATTTTCCCCAAACTCCCAAAAGTGTTCATGATTGGGCATATTAAGTATTCGTGCCAAATTTGACATCAAGATTCATCATTGTTTGAGTTTACAGTGTTCTTTGGATGTAGGTGAACTACAACTCCAAAACTCAAGGCAAAACCCACCTAACCCTTCTAGTATTTTCTGCTGGTCATGGGAGTTCTGTGTGCCAAGTTTGGTTCAATTCCATCACTGGTGGAGTTCGCAATGCTCTTTGATTGTAAGTTAACTATAAATTCCAGCAACTACAACTCCCAAGTGACAAACTCCCCCCAACCCCACCAGTATTCAAATTTCAGTGGTATTGGGTATTTGTGCCAAATTTGGTCCAGTGAATGAAAATACATCCTGAATAATAGCTATTTATATTACAATTCATAACAGTAGCAAAATTACAGTTATGAAGAAGCAATGAAAATAATGTTGTGGTTGGGGGTCACCACAACATGAGAAAGTGTATCAAGGGGTCACGGCATTAGGAAGGTTGAGAACCACTGCTCTAGCCATTCTGTGTTCATTCTTCCTATTTCATAATTATTTATTCCACTGCATTTCCAAACGTTTGTTCAAAAAGCCAAGTTTTTACTCTTTTTCTGAGGAGCCACCACTAAGAAGGCCCTGTCCCTCACACACACACACACACACACCCCTGATGCGCTTGCGAGAAAGGCAGGATCGAGAGAAGGACCTCCCCAGACGATCCTAAGTTCCTAAATGGTTAATAAGGAGAGATACGTTCGGACAGGTAAGTTGTGCCAGAACCATTTAGGGCAGTGGTTCTCAACCTTCCTAATGCCAAGACCCCTTAGTACAGTTCCTCACGTTGTGGTGACCCCCAACCATAATATTTTCATTGCTACTTCGTAACTAATTTTGCTACTGTTATGAATCGTAATGTAAATATCTGATATGCAGGATGTATTTTCAAATCCCAAATACCCAATATGCCCAAATTTGAATACTGGTGGGGTTGGGGGGCGGGGATGATTTTGTTATTTGAGAGCTGTAGTGGCTGGGATTTATAGTTCACCTACAATGTGCCGTCGCGCTTGGGGGCTATTAGTCTTAATGAAGGAGGCATGGACGTGGCACCTTTCCCCCAAGGGATTGCTTCTTGCCCTCCTATAGGAAACTGGAACTCTCAAAAACCCAAAACGCTGTAAATAGCTCAAGATAAGTTTTATTTATCACAAAAGCTTCAAAGCAATGAGCTGGAAAACTTTAGAGGGGTGAAGGAAAACATACGTTACAGTCTCAATCAGTCCTGGGTCCAAGGGGTTTGAAGCTGAGAAGCCTCACCAAGTTTCCTCTTTCCTCAATGGCTGTGAATGCCGGAGCAAACCACAACCCCAGTTCAGATGGCCTATGTTTTGAAGACTCAGGATCTTCCTCTGGTGCCAAAAGAACCGGCTTGAAGGCGCTTGGGATCTCCTCAATGTTATCCAGGACGATCTGGACATAAAGCATGAGTCCCAAGGGTAAAAAAACCTCAGAACTGGTGCTAAGAGGTAACTTAAATCAGGGTCTTTAGAATCAAGTCTCTTACTCACGTCCATGTTGCAGGACTCTGAAGGCAGAATGAAAGAAAAAAGGAAGTTCTCCCCTCTTGCAGGAAGAGGTGGAGCCAAACAGTACTGATTGACAGCTACAAGCAACCAATCCATACAATTATACATAAGCAGTGTAAAAAGGGGCAGGATTAAGCATGATACAACAGTTTAAGTCTTACAACTAACAGTTCTATACATAGGTGGCGCCACTTGCGCCGTCACATACAATCAAAGAGCATTCTGAACACCACCAATGATAGAATTGGGCCAAACTTAGCACACAGAACTCCCATGGCCAAGAGAAAATACTGGGAGGATCTGGTGGACGTTGACCTTGAATTTTTGGAGTTGTAGTTCACCTACATCCAGAGAGCACTGTGGACTCAAACAATGATGGATCTGGACCAAACTTGGCATGAATACTCAATATGCTCAAATATGCTCAAATGTGACCACTGGAGGAGTTTGAGAAAAATAGACCTTGACATTTGGGAGTTGTAGTTGCTGAGATTTATAGTTCACATACAATGAAATAACATTCTGAACCCCACCAATGATAGAATTGGACCAAACTTCCCACATGGAACCCATGACCAACAGAAAACACTATGTTTTCTGATGGTCTTTGGCGACCCCTCTGACACCCCCTCGCGACCCCCACAGGGTTGAGAAACACTGGTTTAGGGCTAGTCTTCCCTTTCCTCCCAGGTAAGAACATATATTCAAATCTGATCAATTTCCATGGTTAGATGCACCAGCCGTACATTTCTGTCCCTTTGAGAACTGTCCACGGAAGATGAAAAATGCACCTTACCCAGAAAAACCTTGTTCCCATGATCCTCCATTCTGTCCTTCTTGTAGATGGTCCGGTGGCTGTGATCGAGGATATCCCACTCCTTCGAGGATATCCCACTCCTCCTGAGTGAACTACACAGCCACCCCTCAAATGGGACTGCGAGCTGCAAGGAAAAGAGAGAAAACAACCCTCTGAAATCACAAATAATATTACGTGAAAGTATTCCTGTATAGTAAACTGAAATAATTTGGTCAACACACTGTAAGGTTTTATAATTCAATGATTAAAAAGCATTGTTTTGAAAGATTCAAGATTTTCCATGAGCAAATGAACAGAGTCTGCTGTTTTTTACACAGCAGGAGGCGATAGAGCCTCTGCCTCTATGTCCCACATCTCGTAACCTACGATAATACGGGGAGGTCCTGCTCTCGCTTCCATCAACATCGCAAGTGCGTCTGGCAGGGACGAGAGACAGGGCCTTCTTGACTGTGGTCCCTTGCCTGTGGAACACACTCCCAAATGAGAAAAGATTGATTTCATCCCTCCTAGTTTTCAGGAAAAAAATTGTGGTTTTGGGACCAGACTTTTGGACAATAGATATATCTAGCACCATAGATGGACATTGGCTGGAATGGGGTTGCTGCAGATGACACTGAACATGAGGAAGAACTTCCTGACTGTGAGAGCCGTTCAGCAGTGGAACTCTCTGAATGAACTCTGTGAGAGCTGTTCAGCAGTGGAACTCTCTGAATGAAGTACCCCGGGGGTACTTCATTAGGGCAAATACCGATCCTCCATAATTGGGGCCATGCTCCTCATGGTTTCAGTGGGAAGCCAAGAAAACACAACGCTCCAGAGGTGATGCTGATGGTTGTGTTCCCCTCTCTTCCTTCCTTCCAAACAATTCCAAGGTTCATGCAATGAACACATTAGGACAAGACACTCCAACATGACAAGCTTTTAGAAAAAGAGCATCACAGGGGGTTAGGACTAGACTTAATGTCACGGGAAAACCTTTACCCCATATATAGATCTATATAAATAAAAATGTAATGTTTAGGGAACCACTGATCGCATAGGGAAGCTGATGAGGAAACACAACATACAAACAATCTACAAACCCACCAAGAAAATCCAACAAATGCTACGTTCAGCAAAGGACAAGAGGGATCCTCTCACCTCTGCAGGAGTCTACCGTATACCATGCAGCTGTGGACAAGTCTACAGAGGGACCACCAAACGCAGCATTGCCCAAACACGCATCAAGGAACATGAAAGGCACTGCAGACTACTCCAACCAGAGAAATCAGCCATAGCAGAGCACCTGATGAACCAGCCTGGACACAGCATATTATTTGAGAACACAGAAATGCTGGACCACACCAACAACCACCATGTCAGACTACACAGAGAAGCCATTGAAATCCACAAGCATGTGGACAATTTCAACAGAAAGGAAGAGGACCATGAAAATGAACAAAATCTGGCTACCAGTATTAAAAAACTCTAAAATTATAACAGCTAAACAACAGAGAGGAAAAAACCAGGCACAGATTAACACCTCCCAACAACAGATTTTCCCAGGCTCAGGCAAGCCTTCAAATGCTAATGAAGGTGATAGCTAAACATTCACACCTAACTGCAGCAGGGAAGAGCTCCTTGCCCCACCCCAGCCATTCCACAGATATATAAACCCATTTTTCCTACTTCCAACAGACCTCACACCTCTGAGGATGCTTGCCATAGATGCAGGCGAAACGTCAGGAGAAATGCCTCTAGAACATGGCTCTATAGCCCGAAAAAACCCACAAGAACCTAATGTAATGTTACTTTGTGGGATTAACATAACTCAGTAACCACTGGACGAATTGACACCAAATTTGGACACAACATACCTAACAGTCCAACGAGTGTTCATCACCCCTGAAAATAAAAAACAACAACAAACAAACACAGCAGAACGGACTTAACCTCCAAATACACCATACACACACACTCATACATACGCATATATACCCAAACACATACATCTACATACACACACATATATACACATGTACATACAAATATACACATGCACACATACATACACACATATATAAACACAAATATAACAGAAAACACAGACAAGCACATAAATTCAAAACAACAATATACCGTATATTCCGGCATATAAGACGACTGGGCGTATAAGACGACCCCCAACTTTTCCAGTTAAAATATAGAGTTAAGACGACTCCCATGCATAAGACTACACCTGCGTATAAGACGACCCCTGACTTTTGCAGAA